TCTTGTCGCAAGAAGCTCAGCTGATTTCTTAGATAAATTTAAATCTCGAATCATGTCCTTTATCTCGCCCTGAAAAAAACCTTGAAACTGTAGGATTTCATCATTCGCAATTACTTTCGCTATTGTTTTTACTCTGACTATTTAACATTTCAACATCATCACAGCAATCATCTAATAAAGAAGTAAATACCTGTATTGGCAAATCTTCACTATGCAGTGTTGGTTACTTAGCGGATTGTACGCTTGCGTAAAATCAAGAATGCTTTTTGTATCGGTTAATACCTTTTACATTTACAGTACAAAAGTAGAAAACTAAATAATAAATCATCAAGGTGGTTTCTTAGCTCTGTCCATATCACCGGTATTCCAAACGGGAGCGCGTTTCGCAGTGACTCCACGCAAGTTTTACAAGCTTTGTGTGGGGCCCAACATTTGTCTTGTTATCCAAGTTGTTTTCCAAAATATGCCCTATAACTTTGTTCTATAAAATCATTTATGTACCTTCGTTGCTTTTCTTGGCAAAATTTACCACACATATAGAAGAAATAGTCGGTGTTATTAACACAAAACTTGTGAAAAACTTATACTTTTTGTAACAATAACGCTCTATAAATGTTTACGTTAGTATATTATTATACGACCATATAATGAGGGCTAATGAGAGATTATATAATTATTCACTACGGTTAAGTTTATGTCACAAGCGTAGTGAGTAACTCAAAATTTGCCACCATCTTTACTTTTTCAAGCATGATGATGAATGAATAATGAAGCACATTTTAACCAATTTATTTTTTTACACCGTTTTATTGGTGTAATTTGTTTGCTTCGGTTAACACGGCTAATCATTATCTTGAGAAGTCGTCACATATGTTAAATACAATACATAGCAAAACTTATAAGGATTCGACTTTAAAGTTAATACAAATTTAGAACCATAACACACTTTATTATAATACAATTTAATATACATGTATACATTTACATCAATATGTACAACATTTCCATTCTCATTTACATATCATGGCGTTAAACAACAAATTTTATATAGATTATTTTTAATTGTAAAACTAATCCAAGGATATTTGTAGATTAATCAAAGATGCTGACATACATCGATCTACAAATTGATCCTAGATCTAATTTCTAACATGTCGCCTTTAATAATCGTAAGCTGTGAATGTCATTAAAAATACACTTGTTTTATCATCATTTAGATTTACATAATTTCGAAGGACAGATTCCCTCCAAAACTGAAAATTTCATCAGGTTATACCACCACAATTGATTCAAAATTGATTCAACGGAAAGAAATTAGAAAACATTGGAGTATCCATATATATTGCAGACTGCAGTACAGTGTAGTAAACATCAGAGTACTTAAAATTTATTGAAATACCTTTTATAATACGAAACATAACTGTTGACATCATAATAAAAAGTTAAAAATTATTTCTTCTACAACAAGAAGGAATACAAACCGTTATATCTGTTTATGGTACAACAACCTGTCTCATTTACAGATTATGCGGTCTCAAAATTATTATAATGCATATCAGTTTACCAATATATTACAGTTATACATATACTCCAATAATATTTCTAGAATAGTTAAAAAATTAGTTAAAAAATAATCTAATAACATTTTAACCAGTTAAGCTTCCGGCAGGCGCGCTTATGTACAAAGTACACACAATTGTGTTTTAGGCGTAGAATGACGTAATTTCTAGATCAATAAACTTTTCTTTAGCAGGTATTCCTTTAGTGTTAATATGTCTTTTGAGGGATATGGTTGAAAATATTGCCTGCTCGTGTAATAAAAATAGGCGCACCTGCCGGAAGGTTAATAAAAGTTATTAGTAATGATCTTATGAAGCTAAAAGTAATAATTTAGCTGTTACTCAATCAGGGGTGTAAAATCAGTAATAATTGAACCAACCTTAAATAATAAAGGCAAATGAAATATATAACAATTACTGTTATCTGTAATTATTGTTAAAGGAGTATTTATTCTATTTAAAGAAGAATTCCAAATTTAAGTTACACTGTACTACTGTAGCACTAATAAAGTAATGATCTTATGAAGTTAAAAGTAGTAATTTAGTTGTTACTCAATCACGGGTGAAAAATCAGTAATAATTGAACCAACCTTAAATAATAAAGGCAAAAGAAATATATAAAAATTACTGTTATGTGTAATTATTGTTAAAGGAGTATTTATTCTATTAAGAGAAGAATAGCAAATTTTAGTTACACTGTATTACTGCAATTATTAAGTTTTTTTAGAAGGGTAGGTTGAAAGTACAAATAGGGTCAAAACGTGCCCTATTATGAGTTAAACATATTCCCCAAATTTCATTTTCCTAGCGTTTATGGTTATTGAGAAAAAAAAATTAAACCAAAATTTTCCGCCATTTTTGGAGGGGTGTAGCTCCTTAGGGGAGCCGAAGTCGCCCATGGTTCATATATCAAAGTACCCTTAAAATTCACTAAAGAATCACCCCTTGAAGTTTGTTGCAGTCATTCAGATACACCCTGTATGTCACATTCTTTCAAAATATCTTTGTTCTTAATATGGTAGTTGGATAAAGGTCGAAGAATCGTGTTATTATTCGAAAATGCGAAGGAAAGATTATATTTAGAAAAAATGTGTTTTGCCTGAAAAGTGACATTATTGAAAGGAATAGGCTTATATTTCTCTTTGTTTGTGTATTTTGTGAAATAGTCTATTAATGATGTTTTGGGAATTTATTATTATATGCAAGCTCAAACACATAGTCAATTTCTTTTATCCTATTCTGTTCGGAGAGGGGATAGTTAAATATTCTATTTATTAAAAACCTAAAATTGGCAAGTTTTTGTGACATAGGATGCTCCGAATAATAAGGAATAGTTGTTGAGATTTATCTTTGTTTGTTCTTGTTAAATTTAAGTCTAGAAAATTAAGTTGATTATTTTCTTCAATTTCTATAGTAAATTTAAGGTTCTTCTTATTAACATTATTCAAATAATTCAAAAAACTCATCAAATTATCTCTGTTCCCTTTCCAGATGCAAAAAATTTCGTCGACATATCTCACCCATTTACTAATATTTTTCTTGTGAGGATTAATATTATTTATAATATAGTTTTGTTCAATGTAGTCTAAAAAGATATCTGCTAGGAGACCTGATGAAGGCATGCCCATAGGTAAACCTTTCGAAATAAAGTAGTATTCGTTATTAAATGTACAATAATTTTGAGTGACTATGTGTTTTAAAATGTAATTTAAATGGTCGACGATAGTTTTATTATTTAAAAATGAGTTAAACATTTTTGATGATATTTCCAATGTTTGGTCAATTGGAACATTTGAGTAAAGGTTAGTTACGTCGAAGGAAATAAGAATTTTGTCTTTTATTTTTAAATCTTTAGTCATTTCTATGAATTGGGTGGAATTATCGTTATATTATTTTTATTGTTATATTATTTTTCGTTTTTGACAAAATTTTTAGTATATTTTGATGTCGTTCATTATACTTTGAGTTATATTGTGAATGTTTTTGTTGTGATTATTTATTTTTAAATTTTAACATGTTTATACCTTTTAAAGAAGTTTTCTTTGAGATAATGTTTTTGGTTTAAGTTTTTCGCTTTTCATGTATAAATTGCTTTGAAAATTTTAACTGTAAGTTTTTTAAACTGTTTTATTTTAATATTTTAATGTGTTTTTCGTTTTTGCTAGTTTCGACTGAAGATGAGGGTGTAACCTCGAAACTAGTCTCGATATATATTTAAATAAAAGCAAGTTAAAGAAGTTTTTTCTAATATATTTTTTTAGTATACATATTTTTTTAATATATTCCCAACTTGCAACGTGGATAAAATTCTTAATTAAGAAAAGAAAATTCTAATAATATGGTCAGAAAAAAAAATATAAGAGGAAGTAGAAAATCCAATACAGGTACATATCGATATAATGTGTGTGCATTTATCAAAGAACCCTAATTATCTCCCAAGCTATAAATGTTAGGTATAGGACATATCGGATATAAAAGATGTAAAATGAGACACCGAAGACATCTAAGTAATAAAATATGGGGGGTGCCATTTAAAAAAATGAAGTTATGGTACTTCCAAGTTTCAAAATGTTAACGTGTCATAGTAAAGTGACAAAACGTTCTAGACAGCCGTACTCGGCACCAAAACATACTCCATCATGTTGCTTAAGCATGTTCTGAATCCGAAATTAATATCCCAAAAATCGAGTGATCTCTGATTTTTTGAACAAATGTCTGCTAGAGCAGATTTTTCTAGAAAAATTCGAATAACTCGAGAATGGCCGAATAAAATTGCATAACGTAAAGTTATTCATAAACCTAGAAAAGAGACAAATCCAAATATGTAAAAATATAAAAGGTGTCCCATTTAAAAAAATAAAGTAGGTGGCGACTTCCGCTATAACCGGAAATGGTAGAAATCTGAAAATATTTTAGCCGAAGAGAACGCAATTGATAATACTTAAATCTAAAATTTCAAATTTTTATTTTGGCCAGAACCTCGTATAGTTCTAATGGACTGTCGTCGGGGATGACCCTGTATAAGTTAATTCTTAAATCATTAAAGTAACTTTAAAAAAATCAATTAATAATTTAAATTTAGAAAATTATAAAAAGCTTTTATAACGATTTCACAACAAAAATAATAAATTGAAGCGTGGAATTAAAAAGAACCATAAAAAGTATTTGTATAAAATGGCGATAAAACTGATAAAATTGGTAAATACATGAAACTGTCTCCGATGATTCATGATTAATTAATCTTATACCAATGCGATAGTAACGATCTCAATGCACATAAAATTTACGATTACTTTTGATTTACTATTGTGTAGAAATATATACGCGTAAATCCGTTAGATATACCCATAGTACGCTACTTCGAAACAGATGGCGCTTAACATGTCTGGTTACGATGATATTGAAATAGTAGTCTAAAAAACGAACCCAACCCAGCAAGCGTCACTCTGGTTTCACCTCAATGCGAATAAATCTTTCGCCTTTTACTAAAGATTTCCGTGGGGTGGAACAACTCAAATGAGTCTATAACCAATTTTTGAGAGTCCCAGCTATATTTTTAGCAGGGACAACAATATTAATTTAAACATAAATAAGGTAGTACTTAGATTTAGTTGTTCCAAAACAACTACCGTAAAATCTGATATTTTTGCAGTTCGAGCACAAAATAGCCAGAAAAGACAAACAGACCTTCCCACCGAAACTCATTTTTATGCACATGTGCGGCTACGCCGTATTGTTGGCGTTTATTTACATCTGTCTTACCACGTTCGTTTGTTGAAATTGTTTTGATTGCGAAAGTTTTTCTTTGAGTTATAGTTATTTAGTGTTTTATTCTATTTTTTCTTACATTTTAAAGTAGTATAAGTTTTTTCTTCTCTTTTTAGTTTTTCTTCTATTTTTTTAATAACAGTTTTTTAGTGTATTATACAGCATACAAAATTTCCTTCTACTATAATTGCTAATTTTTAGATTTCCAATGCAGACCGGACCCAGTGTAAAATTTTAAATCGTAAATAATTTATAAAATTAAATTTTTAAATGATCTACATATTTTCTTTAATTAACGATATACTGTATTAAATGAATTTTATATATTGTATTAAATTTTTATAACAATAACCGTAATTATATCTTCAATAGAAATTTAGTAAAATTAAATTTCAAAATCATTTTAGTGGACACTTTCCTAAAACAGAGTACTTTACTTTTAAAATTAGCGCCTACACTTTCTGAGATTTTTCAGAAACTAAAAGGAAATTACAAATTTCCGAAAACAGATTCATTTATATTTCAAGGGGGAAACGGTTTGACCTATGATTCACACTTTTGACGTTTACCCCTACGCCCCCACGAATACCTTCTCAAATATTTTAAATGGAATGACGCATCGCGTGGTATCTCTGTGGTGATTGTTCCTTATCTGCCAATCCAGTGATTTGGAAATTTCCGGTTAAACCAATTACGAACATTCGTAGCATAATGCGGTGGAGCACCATCCTGCTGGAAGAACAATTGATGTTCGTCGAGTACTTCATTACCTTCTTCATCAAGCCGGTTTTCCACTTCTTAGTTATTAGAGGATCGATTATGTTTTCCAACATATTCAAGTACACGTCACCGTTTAGCGTTTCATTAATGAATATGGGTCCAACTATTGAATTACCTAGTATTCCAGCCCAAACATTAATCTTTGGAGGTCTCTGGGTATGTTCCTCTCTTATAACATGGTGATTTTCGTCGCTCCAATATCATCGTACATTATGCTTGTTCCATTTAATGTAAAAAGTGCACTCATCCATGATTTAATACGAAAATGCATATTTAACATTGCTTTGAACTTCCAAAAAGAAACGTCAAATCGCAACTTTAAAGTGATTTTTCGGTAAGTACTACACTTTTCCGCACTTTTTTTTTAATCATTAACGCCTCTTTTGACTCATTTCCTATCGATTAAAAAAAAATCATCGATTTTTAAGACAGACTCCTAATCTTGAATTATTCCGAAATTTATGCAACTTTGTCATTTTGCGTACCGACGAGTAAGAAAGTCCGGTGGATGCTGCAACCTGACGCAAAGAACTGGTTGGCTCCATGGTAAAATATCCAATTACTTCCATCTTCGCCAGTTCATCTACTACCTTATTAGTGTGCCTTTTCTTGTTCTCTACCAATCCACTTACTTAAAATTTTTGCACAAGTTCGCGAACGTATTTATGCTCCATATGCTTATTTGGATGTCATTGATTAAAAACCCTTGCTGTTGCACGAGCACATTGCTCGGCACCATAAATGTAGATAACTTCCACCCTTTCAGCAATAGAGTTTTACGAAAACCAATGTAAGTTAAGTTGACTAAACGGTAACAACTAATGTGACAGTTTGTTAGACAAAACGTCATCGGCTTGTTTTCTTTTGTTTCCACGCCTAACTGATGAAAATTAGGTTGCGATCAGTTGCGATAGCGCTTATCGTTCGTCTGAAGTGACAATGATAAACTTTGTCATAAAATGTATGAGAAAATAGGAAACGTGGGCAAGTGACACATCACCATAATCCTTATAAGATAAGCTTTCATTTGAGATACCACACCATGGGTCATTCCATTTAAAATTTTTGGGGAGGTATTCGTGGGGGCCCAGGGGGAAACGTCAAAAATGTGAATCATAGGTCAAACCGTTTCCCCCTTGAAATATAAGTGGACCTTTTTTCGGAAATTTTCAATTTCCTTTTGGTTTCAGAAATATGTTAGGCGGATCGTTTTCAAAAAATCACCCGGTATGTGCTGAAGGTCAAATAAAATAGCTGGTGAAACATCAAAGACACCGCCGGTTTTGTCCATTCTGGTTATTTTGTGGTTTGAATATATAAAAATGCTATTTAAAAATGTAGGGGTGATGAAAGAAACTCCACATTGCATGAAAATTTTAAACTATCTAAGAATGTAGTTATGACTCTTTAGTGATTCCCAAATTTTCAAATTTTTTTCTTCACTCGTTCAAAACTTATAGCTCCGTGCCAGGAGTTTTGGAAAACCCGGTATTAAAAAATAAGTTTTGTAAGACACGCTTGAAATGTACGAATTCAAGTTAAAAACGAGTGCCGAAGCCACGAGTTTTTTTAATGAATGAGTGCTTTAAGTCTTACGAAACGTGTTTTTTATACTATTTTTTGTAATTCGCGTTTTTATCCCTTTTTTTTAACAAAAATAAAATAAACTTTGACAATGTAGGGAAATAGGTATGTAGCAGTTGGTAACACTTGAAAATAGAAATTTGAATTGACAATAATACAAACAAAATGTATTCACTCGATAAAAATCTTTCATATACACCTCCCGAAATAAAAGAAATTGCTGAGAGTACTGTTAAAACATTACTTCCAGAGAAATCCCACGAAAGATACGAGCAACAGTATGCTAAATTTAATTCGTGGTGCGAAGAGAAGAGGATTAAACAAATATCAGAAAATGTACTGATTGTATATTTTGAAAATCAAGGAAAAAATATAAGTCCTCATCATTGTGGACCTTATATTCGATGTTAAAAACGTGTTTAAACATCCATAAAGATGTGGATATAACAAAATATAAAAAACTTCAAGTCCTCTTAAAAAAATTGTTAAAAAGTTACGTACCCAAAGAATCTAAAATTTTAGAATATGACCATATCATTAAATTTATAAAGGAAGCTAATAATAAAGTGTATTTAGCTATGAAAGTATGTACATCTTTCTTTCTATTGATTTTGTAGATAATTTACTAAGTTATTTTAGGTAATTTTAACAATGGGGTACAATGAGGTATGTCGAAGAGAAGAATTATTAAATATATGTGTGGATGATCTTCATTATAAATCAGACTGTATAACAGTAAATATACCTGAAACAAAAAATGATGTCCCTAGAATGTTGAAATGTTGAAAAGACTATAGCAAACTTCGACCGAAGAATCCTACAATATTCCTAGAGAAATTGCCAAATTTCTTCAATTGCCCGATTCTCACCTTTATACTGGACATTGTTTTAGAAGATCTACTGCTACACACATAGCAAACAGTGGTGGTGACTTTTTGACCATACAACGTTTAGGTGGTTGGAAAAGTTCAGCAGTTGCGGAAGGATTTGTTGATTCTTCTTTAAAAAATAAAATTGATGTTGCAAATATCTTAAACACACACCCAGCAACAAATGATAATATCACTATCAAAGGTAGTGAAAATATTGAACAAAATGTAGCCACCGCACATGGTATTGTTATTGAGGCTAAAGACAGTTCAACGGTAGACATTAAAGTTTACAATAATTGTTCATTTGCATCGAGCATTTAGTAAGATTGTTTTTTATTTGTTTTTGTTGTATTTTGTGTTCAAAAAATGAATTTGTTCAGCTATCTCCAATTTTATTATAACCTTAAATTTAACTTATACATTCGTAAATAGTATTCTAAACACAATTCAAAAAGTCGTACAACAACGTCAACTATCGATACGTCATCACCAATGTGTTCAAAATTATTACAACTTTTAAATTTAAATCTTTATTTTTTTCTTGCTACTATTTCTTTCCCTAAACTTGTCCTTTAATTAAAATAATATTGATAATTGCCGAATATTATTCTTTTTGTGCTCCTTCTTATATATTTTTCGCGGTTTAAACATGGTTTAAACCCGCGATGTTCGTTCTCGAATTAATTGATTTTAATCAAAACTTACTTCCTGAATTTATTAATAATTTTCAATTTTACTAGGTATAAATTCCAATTTAAATTGTCACATTGACAACTAGAAAAATTAATGACCCAATGTCACCAACTTGAACTGATTCCATAAAATGTTACTAAAATCTCATTACAGCATCGGATGCTGTAAAGAGTCTCATTACAGCACCCGTTTGAGTACTGAAATAGCTTCCATTACCGTAGCGAATTACAAAAAATTTATAACACAGGTCCCTCGTATCGTTCCTAGT